CCGCCGAACCCGCACCCTGCTGGACCCCGGCTCGGCCTTCCCGCCTGCGCCCCTGGCGGAGTCTCAGCAACTTCCTGGGGACCCTCTCGGTCTCCAACTCCATAGGACCCTCGTGGAGGTGCGGGCGACGCCGGCTACCTCAGCGGCGCGCGCCCTGCGCAGTGCCCAGCAAGGCCCAGGCTGGGCAGCGCCTCCCGGCCCCTTCGGGATGGCTGCCCCTCCCTTGGGAGCAGGCTGAGTGCCTTGGCCTTCACCTAGCCCTGGAGACTCCCCCACCACCGGAGCGCAGGGACATGCGGTACCAGGTGAGGGCCAGGGGCAGGCAGGGCTGGGAGGCTGCGAACCCAGCCCCAGGAGGCTTTGGGTTGGCGTCTGGAGCGTCAGAGGGGTTGGGGGTGAAGGGAGGGCTGGTTTGGGGACAGCTCTGAGGGGCCAGGGGGCACACAGGTCTGCAGGAGAGCTAGGAAGGAGAGGGCCAGGCCCAAGGCCCACCAGGCCCTGCTCCCTGGCTGGTTCTTGGAAATCCCTTCACCCTCATGGAGCTGAGTGATGTCTGGACGCACGTGGTCAGGGACGCATCCCCGTTGGTGGCGGCGGCTGGATGAGCCACAGAACAGTATGTGAGGCAGCAGGCCAGGGACATGCATGCCCAGAATTGCCGGCACACCTTGCAGGGGACAGGGAGACCTCAACATAGACAAGCTCCCGACTGTTCTGTGACCACAACTCCTGACAGGAGTTGTCACTTAGTCGGGAACAGTGGCCCGGGAGGCCCCTGGCATTGTCCCTCCTCAGGGCTACATGGTGAATCCAGAGTGAGGCATGAAAGGCCTCCTGAGCTGGGACCTGGAGTGCCCCTCTGTCCCCACTTCCTACCGTGCACTGCACTGTCCTGCTTTGGGGCAGAAGCGGCAGGGGCATTTCCACCCCATCTAAAGACTTTCTTTCCTTCCTTTCAGCACAGCTGGCTCCCCGGGACCCCTGTCTGACCACCAGGATGGAGCTCAGACTGGCTACTGATACCTTTGTGCTGGAGCTGCAGTGCCTCCAGGATGGGGGCCCGGCGCCTGACACCCTCTCAGGTGAGGTGCTGGAGGGGCCCCCTAACCCAAACATGACCTTTCAGCAGAGCCCCAGGCCTGCTTGTGGCAGAGGGAGGGGACTGAAGGGTGGTGGACACTTGAGTCTATAAGAGTGACTGCTTGGGAGGCTGCAGAGCCACACCTGCTCCCACCTGCACCTGAGTTCAGCGTGATGCTGTTAGGCAGACTTGCCTGGGGACTTCCTGAGGCGGTCTGTCAGGCTGAGCTATTGTTGGGGATGTGTGTGTGTGTGTGTGTGTGTGTGTGTGTGTGTGTGTGTGTGTATGTAGGGAGGGGGGTTAGCAGCTACTAGCAATGCCGACATTCTCAGCCCCTCCACCTCCAACCCTCAAATATATACTAGCTGGGACCTTTAAGATCCTGTCTACCTCTGGGACCTCCTCCGAGCCACCCAGAACCTTCCAATCAGTTCTGTGTGTCAGGGGTGGGGAGTGAGGGCTGGGGCAGGGCTGTAATGAACCAGGGAGTGGGAGGGGACCGAGTGGGACAGGAGGACAAAATGAGGAGTCTTGTGATTTATCAGTGTAACTGATGTAAGTCTGGCAGATCCCACTGACCATACACCGCCTGCCTCAGCTGTCTCTCTGAGCTACCTGGAAGCCCCTTGCTGCTCCCTGGCATCAGGATGGCTGGTGCCTACATAACCAAAGACTGTTCTGGAAAAACAGAGACTCACATAGCTGTGTGACCCATTCCCAGATATTGCTAAAGGAGGTGGCAGGAAGAGACGGGTTTTTCACGGCTGCCCGCATACCCCGAGCCACTGGCCATGTTGGTGAGAGAATCCTCCATGGAGCATTTTTTTTTTTCAGAAGGGAATGTTCCCCATATACAATTCCCTTGGTCTTGTTACATCAACTCCTTCCTGGAAAAACATCGTAGAGCAATATTTCATAAATCAAACCAGTGTTTTCTTTGCTTTCCCTGATATAATTGCAAGCACAACGCTGTGGGAAGAGCAGGGCTTCGGTGCAGACTCAGGAAGGGAGAAGGCCTCCCAGGACCCACACTTGAAAGAAAACGATGGCTTTCTGATCATTCAACCTCGTTAGCGGCTGTCCAGCCTGCCTCCTCTCCCCCCTCCACTTCCCTGCTGCCCCAAGTCCTGTGCAGTGGAATGTGCTGTTGGCCCAGGGCAGTGGAAATCCATAGGGATTGCGTGATTTTCAGAGGTAGCTTGCCAGGCTTCTCTTCCTAGTCTTTCAGCTGGAAGCTCTACATCATAGCCACACTCAGGCCTCCACTGACTGGTGGGGCCATGCCTGAGCAGCACTGGCTGGGAATCAAACTCGAGTCTTATGTGGAAGCCAAGAATTCTACCTCGGAGTCACCAATGCCTCTGCTTTCCCCCAACACTCCAAACTCCACGGCTGGCAAGTCAGTTCTCACTCCGGCGACTCCATGTGTTAGAGACTTGCTCCCCCAGGCTTGACGGTCAGCTTTACAGAGTGGAGAGCCAGGCCTTTCTTCTGTGGTACACCTGGGTAGGTTCGAGTGAGCAGCCTTTAGGTTAACAGCTGATGGTGCAGAAAATCCAACATCAAGACAGAGGCCACACCTGTTCATCTGGAACCTACTCTGAACCTGGTCCGACTCTGGGCTGCCCATTTCTCTCTCTCGTTTGCACAACGTGACTTCCCTCCTGTGGCAGATGGGAATGTAGGGGGTTATGTGTCGGGCTGCTAACCTTAAAGTCCACAGTTTGAACCCACCAGCCGTTCTGCGGGAGAAAGATGAGGCTTTCTACTCCTCTAAAGACTTACAGTTTCGGAAACCCACAGGGACAATTCTGATCTCATCTGTTAGTGAGCAGATGGGGAGGGAAGAGGAGGGTCCCAGAGGTTAAGTAACTGGCCAGTCACAGTGTTGCCTTAAGGAGCCCTGGTCACTGTGGGTTAAGCTAAACACTGGGCTGCTGCCTGCAGGCAGTAGGTAGTTCAAACCCCACCAGCTGCTCTGGAGGAAGAAGGAGAAGGCTTTTTGCTCCCATAGAGTTTACAGTCTAAAAATCCCTAAGGAACAGTTCTACTCGGTCCTTTATGGAGTCACTCTGAGTTAGAATCGACTTGCTGGCAGTGAGTTTTGGTCATGTGTTGGCTTGGAGCTCTCCATTCCAGAACAACCATCCCAAACCCAGCCAGTTTTCCAGCGGAGCTTGTTGTCCGCTTGGGTCCACCAAACTCTTTGTTCGTTTGCAAACGAATTCCTAAGTGCCCAGGTGTCATGGGAAGTACTAGGGCCGTTCCTGTTTGCCTCGTTAAATGCAGGTGTAGGTAGCAGACAGCTGCTTTGCAGACAGAGCCCCGAACCTGCAGCAGTCTGGGCAGTGGCTAACTGGTAGTTAAGATCCAGGCTGAGGCCCTCCCATTCATAACAGTGGTTTGGGACACACTAGTGCCTTTCCAAAGGAGCTGCAGGTCATACCCACAGGCATTATAACAGGATGCTCGATGATGGAGCAGGTGGGCTTCCTTGCACGAAGGTGTGACCTGCACTGAGACCTGAGGTCCCATTTCAGCATGGGACGGATGGTCTAGTTGGGTCACTAATGCCCATTGGATGGTGAAGAACCACCTAAGACTTCCCAGGGGATGGGGAGCCCAAGGCACCTGAGGCCAAGCTCTAAGAGCTTGGGGTCGAGGTGCCAGGAGGCCAAGAGGCAGTCAGGGTGGCTGGTCTTGTACTAGGTCAGCAGCAGCCCTTTGGTATGAGTCCAAACCAGCCTCGCCTTCTGGACATTTCCTTCTGTGCCCTGCTGAGTTGGTGCTTTGGGGCCCTGCGGGGAGATTTGAGAATGCCCCTGAGCAACTGGACAGGGACCAGGGCAGTCCTGGGGTTGGGGTGGGGGCAGAGAGCTGCCTGTGGGTCTTTCTTGCCCAGCTTCTTGCCATTTCCACTACAGGAGGCAGTGGTGGGAGTGAGAGCCAGGAGGATGAAGAGGCTCAGGAGGGAAGCGGCAGCCCACCCCAGCCGGTGACCTCAGCCCTGATGGGGGCCAGTGGTACTGACGAGGGAGCCCGACTAGGACTACAGCAGGTGGAGCCACAGCCAGAGCTCCAGCGTCAGCCACCTCCAATCCCCCTCGAGGGTCAGCAGCTAGAATGGAGACAGCCACAGCAGCAGGTGCAGTTACAGCCGCTGCTACCACAGCCAGCAGAGCAACCATGGCAACAGCAGCCACTCTTCCTACAGCCCCAAGAACAACAACTATCGCAGTCACAGCAGGAGCCGTTGCAGCAGCAACAGCAAATGCCCGAGCAGCAGGTGTTACAACCCCAGCAGGAGCCAGTAGAGCAACAGCTGCAGCAGCCCCCGCAGCAGGAACCACTGCGGCAGCAGTTACAGCAGCAGGTACTAGAGCCACAGGCATCACAACCACAGCAGGGACCACGAGAGCTGCAGCAGCAGCTTGTGCCTGAACAGCAGCACCAACACCAAGCACATGGACAGCAGCAGCCACTGTTACAGCCGCAGGGCCCAGTACAGCAGCAACAGTTAGAACAGCAGCAGCAACTGGAACAGCAGCAGCTACAGCAGCAGCAGGATCAGCAGCTACAGCAGCAGCAGCAACAGCAGCAACAGCTATTGCAACAGCAGCAGGACCAGCAGCTACAGCAGCAGCAACAGTTAGAGCAGCAGCAACAGCTATTGCAACAGCAGCAGGA